TAATAATAATAATAATAATAATAATAATAATAATAATAATAATAATAAATTCCAACCTCATTGTGTGTTTCTTTAATATGAATGATAAAAACTAATAAAGTTACGAGATGAGGCCCATAGTTTCTGTTTCCGTTACGCACAGAAAATAATAAATCACTGATAATGTTAGAAGGTTTATGAGTTGTCTTCTAATCACAAAGCCACCAGTTAGACCCAGACAAAGTGCTGCCGAAAAAAGAGATCTGCAAGAAGCGTCAATCTGCAGGAGATTAAGATTATAATCCCTCTCTGCCTTGTTTTTAATTTGAACAAATTGACACCACCCTATAAAGCCTGCAGCACGAGCTATATAAKTTGATATTTTCCAAAAATGCAATATTCCTCTAAGTCATTTTAATGACTCTGCTGTGTTTAATAAAATGTGGAACATTTTTTGTTGGATTTCTGTTTCTAAAACGGCCACGATCAGGTGATAAATAACCGTGAAATGTATAGGCCAGCATAGGATTCCCGATCATTCCTCCATGGTGTACCTGTGGTAATGCACGCATGGCTGCAGTTGAGTCTGATTTTTWAATAAAATCTCGTTCGGTTCCGGTGCAGCGGAGAGCGACGACGCGCCGCTGGAGAGGCCGCAGCCCGTGGCTTCGTGCGCCGCGGCGCCCGGCACCGGCACCGGCGAGGAGACCCGCGTGGAGCTGCAGGGATCCGACCTGTGGAAGCGGTTCCACGAGATTGGCACGGAGATGATTATCACCAAGGCTGGAAGGTGGGACATGCAGGAAAAGAAAATAAATAAATAAATAAATCAAAGAAGAAGAAAAATACGCACCAATTAAAGGCCGAGTTCCAATTGTTTTATTATTGTCGCCATGTTTCCAGTTTAAACTCACTGAGTGTTGAAATCATTTATTAGATTTTATTTTATTTTTTTCACTCAGGCGGATGTTTCCCGCCATGCGAGTGAAGATTACAGACTTGGACCCTCATCAGCAGTATTACATCGCCATGGATATAATCCCAGTGGACAACAAACGATACAGGTGAGACTCGTGCGCACCTTTAACTCATAATTGCTGTAAACCAGGGTTGTTCAACTAAATTGCTCCGGGGGCCARAGTTACTGCCTGTCAGCTGCTGAGGGGCCCAACATCCAGCAATAACATTATGTAAATAAAGCAAGTATTACAAAGATCTGTTACCTTTAAATTAGTTTCTTTTGCTGCATTTAATCATGAATACAACACACAGAACCCTATTAAAGTAGTAACATTATCAAAAACAAAAAGAACACATTCTGCCTCCTATTTGACACAAATATTTATGAATTGCCAAATTTTTAAACCAATTTTATTTTCACTTCATTTCATCTTCAACTGCTTGTAGTTTTAACTGTCTTGAGTGTTTATAGAAATGGTTTTACCAGCTTCTAGCCAAGATTCTGACGTTTCTGTAGATACAAACATGTCTATGTTTAACTAAAAGAACTTAGAGTAATTACAGTAGAAAACTGGGGGTTTGGGCTTAAGAGATGAATGAACCGATTGGCGGGCCGAACTTTGGTCAGTCGCGAGCCGGATGCGGCCCGCGGGCCGCCAGTTSAATAMCCCTGTTGTAAACTTTACAGACCCGCTCCTCTATTAAAAAAGATTTTAGTTGTGAATTGTTATCATGTAGTCTCAGTTTAGACTCATAGGCCTACACTTTGTGGGACAATCCAAGATTCTTCTCTGTCCACAAATGGCGCTTGGCTCCGGCGGTTTTGTCACGGTGGTTTTGTCGTCCKGTTTGGAGGAGGCCTTTTGGATGCCCGTGACCTCTGTAACCCAGAGGGTCAAACCAACAACAYAAAAAGTCCCTCTGAATCAGAGGAGTCCGTGGAGCCACGTCCCATACGTGCAATGAGCTCCACGTCGGTCCAAACTGCACAGCCGGCTCCACGGAGCGACAGCCGGTCTGTGTGGAGAAAACAGTCCCAGTGTTTAGGTTTACCAGCAGCTGAGCGAAACCCTGCAGAGTTGGATCGTTAAGAAARGCATCCACAATCAAATCAGTTCAGGCTGCTCAGCTGAATGTACTGAAACATGCCTCAAAAATACAATTTTCTATATTTGTGCAAAATGGTTCCCAAAGCAGCATTTTTTAAAAAATGAAACATTTTAAACAACTACAGGACCAAAACAACATAAAACAAATAAAATAAGAGAATAAAATAAAATAAGACAAGCTCTATACACTCTAAAAATAAAATGTTGGATTTACTTAACCATGTTATGTGACCTGGTTCCACTTAACTAAGTTGAGTAAATTCAAAGCAACATACTCATGTTCTTTGGTTAAAAACTGGTATATTGCTTTGAATTTACTCAACTCAGTTAAGTGGAACCAGGTAACATAACATGGTTAAGTAAATCCAACATTTCATTTTTTACAGTGCAGATGCTCCTGAATGGAGGAAACTTTAGGCTCTTTGAACAAAGCTTTTTGGTCAGTCTGTTTCATTTAGGGCAACTAAAACGTAGAACACACTTCCTGATGAGTTAAAAATGTGACAATGTATATTTTTTCACCCCAGGGGGATTGGCTTTTGAGTGGCACTGTGCAATAAGATGTTTTAAATAATTATAATTATAATTATT